AAAGACCTGTTATGGTATAAAAAATTGTTAAAATTGTCTCCTTTATGAATCAAATATTAAGACTTTTTCCATATGGCATTCGAATACAGATACATATAGATATGAATAAATGACAAATATGATAAGTCAGAAAAAAGGATATTCCTGTTAGGTAGTGCAGGAGCTATGCAGTGGCTCTGTGGAAGGGGGTTAAAAATGGCAGAAAGTTGCAAAGTTGCAAGGGGCTGAAAAACGAACGCCCATAAATGATTAATGGCCAAAGTTGGATTCACATTTTGATGGCCCAAACACTTTTCATAATTTCAAGCGCACGAAATTAGTCAGCTCTTTTTGGTCAAAATGCACTTTCCCCCCGTTCCCCAGTATACCCATTTTCAAATGCACATTAATGGCCATTTATAACAATTTTTGGCTACCAGCTCTCTACAAACATTCCAACAACTGTCATTGCAAATGAAGTGTAAAGGAGATAGTCGACCCCAAAGAGCCCAGAGAGAGAGAGAGAGAGAGAGAAAGGGGGTTGTGGGCAGTGGCTTTGGACGAAATTAGAATCGGAATGAATGCAATGCTCCTCAAGTTGCCAACCAAGACCGACATGAGCCAATTTACATAACCCAGAACAACAAATAGTTACAAATTGAAAACTTTTGTCTGCCAAGATTGTAAGCGATTGTCTAGCGATTCCCCTCTACCCACTGTATATCCTCTGTCCTCCTTGTTGCCATTGCCATTGCCGTTCTTGGTAGTGTCTCCTCCAGTTGCCATTGTTATAATCAAAGTAGTAGCTGAATAACAAGAAAAACAGCAACTGGCTCTGACAGCGAGCGAATGAAAGAGATACGTTCGCCGAGATACGAAAGAGCAATGTGTACGAGATTGGATGATGGCAACCGGGGTAGAGCGAAAAAGTATCGACAAGTTTGACGCTTTATGGCATTGTTTAGTGCCGCACATTTCGCCAAAAAACGTTTTTCAACTTTCACACAATTGCGCCATTTGTGCCGCGTCTTCAGGGGGCTGGTGCCCCCCTCCTCGATAGAAAATAGCTATAGATTTAAGCCATGGCAATAGCAATGTACGCGTATGTATGTAAAAGGGGGGCGGGACAAGTCGACACAAATCTGCTGACGGAAGCTCCGGTTGGCCCACAGTGCTTTTTATACGGAAAACGTGCAGAAAGTTTGAGTGCCAGCTTAGGAGCTGCTGGCAAAAAGTTATAAAACAGTAGATAATAAAATAATAAAATATATGTATTTGAATTGTAACCAACGCGTCCATACAAAAGAACACTCAGACAGACAGACACACACACATATATAAAGTTTTTCTTTTCAGGCGATAAAATTACATGTCAAATTGAATGTAACCTGCTATTTGTGCGCATTATGGTGGCTATAATTAAACCCCCGATGGCTGGAAGGGAAATCGCCACACGATGGCTGGTCAATCATGGGTTTATGTGATGGCTTAAACTTTCTGAACTGAAACGGAATCGAAATTGGCATCGGATCTGCTGGGAAATGAGTTCCGGCGCCTGGCGGATGACCTCAGTTCGAGAATACGGATATGGGTAAAACAGTATATATATTTACAATATCGCCATGAAAAGAGCCTGGGTATTGCTATCATGAGTTATGTCCGCAACGATCCCCTTTCCGTTCCGCCAAAAAATATTATTTAAATATTACTTTTCACCAAAGCGCGCCAAATCCTATAAATCAAGCGAAAGTCACCGACTGAAAGAGATCTAGATAGAAAAGTTTTTGGGGCCGCAAGTTTCGAGCGAAGAACAACAAGACATAGACGCCTCATATAAATTCGCAAGAATTGAGCAAACTTTAGAGGATTGCGATTTGTTTTCCATGAAAATGGGAAATGGAAAATTGAAAATGAGAACCTGAGTGTGTGGGGAGGCGGGGGGTAAAGTCACCTCGTTTATTCCCCATCGCCAACGAAATCCTCAAATCGGAATCCCTGCGAGCGTTGAGTGCTTGGCTAAGCCGAATCAATGCGATTTTTATGCTAATACAATCAATCGGTCTAATCGAATCAAACGTTTTGACAACCCAACGGCCTCAAATGGAGCGTTTTGGGGCTTGTCCCAATCGGTTTCCCCAGTATCCTAGCTATTGTTTCTCTCTCTCTCTCTCTTGTCTTCTTGTACGAATAAACTATCGCTGGGACAACAAGTACGCAATATGCATAAAACTTTATATGGCATTTAAATCGCTCCTGGGGTTGGTTATCACCCCCTTCGCCACCCCTTTTATAGCAGCTGCCCCAAATCCTTCCCCTTTCCCTTTCCATTTCGATTTCCCCATATCCCAACCCATTTGGCTGCTTACTTCGCCTGTTAACTCAAGCGTCACAAATGCCGGAAATCGAATACAATTTGTAATTCTGATGAACAGTTGAGCAAAACTTAAGCATCGCCTGTCCCGCCTGCTGTTGCTGTTGCTGTTCCTGCTCCCGTAACGCTTGTTACTTCTCCTATGACCATGGCCATTGTTGATTCTGCTGGTGATTCTGATTCTTATTGTCCTGGCTTTCCTCTTCCTGCAACTACTTTTGGCATATTTAGCCTGGCTTTCACCTTGCTTTCGCCCGGCTTTCTTTATCCTCTTGCTCGTCCTTATTTTACTTCTGTTTCTGTAGCTATATCTGTAGCTCTCCATTTGGCTTGGTTTCCATTTCGTTATCGAGTCCTCGGCAATCGCCATGTAATGCCAAATTGGGCGACATCGTTTTATGTTTTGTTTTTGCTTTTCGTCCATGGATTCGACGAGGGGTTGGGATGTGTCTACAGGTTCACTCATCAGTTGGCGCTCTGTTAAATTTCGCACACGTAGCAGCATAAAAATTGACACCGATAATTCGAGTCCCAGTACCAGTATGTGTATGTGTATGTGTGTCTGCCTGTGTGTAGTCAGCGGTACGTATACGCGATATAAACACGCACACGCCCCGAAAACATACATCATGTCGGAAAATTTGTCGGTCGCCAGCGGGAAAAGGTGAAGAGGGGGAAGAGAATGGAGAGGGGCACAGGAAGGGGAATGTAGAAGAGGAAGCTGCATGGGGGCGATATGTCGCGTCGCTGTTTACACAAACAAAGTTATCAATTTTACACACGACAGTCGCTTCACCTCACTCCCTTGCCTCACGTCCTTTGCATTCCCTCTAGTATATTATTTCCCACCGGAAGGGCTTCCCAAAGTGGTTGGGATAAGGAAAAAAGGGATGGGGTTTGGAGAAGGACAAGGTAAGAGCACCGACTGCCAGCATTCCCATCAATTCTGTATGCAATCAATGTCCAAATCGGAGACGCAAAGCGTCGAAACACCTCAGTCATAATAAATACAGGCGAGCTTCCATGTAGCGAATTCCCTCGAAGATAAATTGAAACACAAAAATAACATATTTTTCAGTTTGTAAGACCACATCTTCACTTAGAAGTAGAAATGTTTGTCAGATGAATATTTTATTTAATGATAATCTGTAGTCTCAATATATATTGATGTAAAAACATCTACTTTGAAGTTGTAAGTATTCTGGCAGTCATAAGTATTACTGTTTGCTTGAGAAAAACTAACATGGAGAGTGACTTTTATTTCCACTCAAAAACATCCATCGAAGTGATCCCTTCAAAAGTTTGCAAAAAATATTGAATTTAGCATATTAAAGCATACTTTTTGGGGCACTCTGCAACAGATCAAAAGCAATCGTAACCCACAACCGCACTTTAAGAGTTTGACGTTTTTGCAACAATTCCTGGCGATTCCTCCCCCAAAAAACGAAAAAGAATATATAGTAAACATTTTTCATAATTCTGCACCCTTGCCACCAAAAGCCAACGAGGAAAACAGAATTCACTTAGGGCTAAGAGAGATGGATGATGGGGGGCTGAAAAAATGTCGCCGCTTGTTAAATTTAAGGAATGTTTGGCTTGTTAGTGTAAAATAATATGAGCGAAGTGGGTGGAACTCTGCTTACTTAGGCGCCCGTTTTAGCCTGTTGTCTATTTGATTTGCCAGGACATGCTAAAAACGGGAGTAGGTAAAGAAGTCGAAGCACACGATGACGAAGAAAGAATTCCACTCAAATTGCATTTATTGGAGAAATATTTATAATAACTTGGAAATTCAATTTCCAAAGAAAATATGCTAAACGGATTTGAGGGGGCGAAGGGGCGATGATGGCAGGAGTGCAGCCATCGAAGGGAGATGTTCGGGTAAAAGGGACTTTCCCGAGGTGAGGATGTCAGTCTGCGTGTGCGAGTATGTGTAGGTATTTCAGTGGCTTGTGTCGTGTCAATGGCTCGTATGTCGCCTGTGTCTGTGTGTGTGTGTGCGTAAAGAGATATGTTAGAAAATTAAAATCGACCATATGTTGCCTCATCGATTTTGATAAGTCGCCTCGCAGCACAGCTACATCGGGCGTAGCAGGAGCAACAGCGCTATGGTCGCTTCATATCCGTTTCCGCTTTGACACAATGGGCGCACAATGCGTGGCATGTTGTGCTTGTCCTTGTGCTTGTGTGGGTGTCTGCTTCCTGCCTCCTGCCACTACCATTGCCACTTTCAATTGCAAAAAGCTGACTGAAAAAGGCGCCTTGTCATGCATGAGTTTTCTGCCTTTTATTATTGATGTTGTTTTGTGTTATTATTGCCGCTGCTCACCATTGTTGCTCTTTTTTTTTTTTGCTTGGGAGCCGATCTGCTGTCTGCCTTCGCGTGACACAAATCAAACGCACCCCGTTAAATATTTCATAAGGACATTCAGCCACGCACCTCCAATGATGAACTTTAAGGACATGCAGAAGCACGCCTTAACCCTCCGATGCCCCATCATGCTTACCATTCAATTTGGCTCCAATAAATGTTGCAGCAACATGTTGCTACTGCGCCGGCGCCTTGTTGCTGTTGCTCCCGCTGTTCCTGGAGATTTGCATATTGTTGGAGGTTTCGGAGGAGCAGCTCTGTTCAGTTGTTTACCGCGCCTCAAGCCACACACACGCAACGAGCGCTGCCAAGCCGGAAACGTGGGGAGCGACTTACTGTGTGAACTGTGACCCGTGATACGTGACCCGTGAACTGCTATCCGTGACCCTGGTGGGAACGTGACTCGTCTCGTGTCCGCCTGCTCGGCTGCCTTTCGTATCTGGCGTCTCAATCGGAATTGGAATTGGAATCGCGTCATTGGAGTGACTGATTTTGAGTTGACTGTGCGGTGGTGTGACGAAGTGCGGGAATGTGTGTTTCTTACGTCGTAGCGTAAGGACAGTTACGTAAGGACTCCCTGTCACCCCTCTCCCCCGCGGATAAGGACACAAACGCAACGCGCTCGAATGCGTTACGTTGCGCATGAGATGGCGGCACGCAGTTCGCGCTACATTTACTCCGACCACGGCCATCGAATCTAGTCCGCTCTTAGCCAAAAGGTAGCAGGGTTTTAACCACTACATAGAACATGGTCGAAGTCCCCTCCTCCTTTTCCCGTTTCCCCCCTTTTTCCCCACCACGTCCCTGTCGAATATAATTAAGTGTATTATCGGAACGTGACCAGAGCGAAATTGCTGCCTGCGGGCGAGGCAAATGCTTCTCCTGCTTTTCCTCTTCCGTTGGCCAGAAGCAATTGAATGGACAGCTTAGTGTGTAATGAAGAAATTACCAAAAGCTCGAATCCAACCAAACCCCCTCCCCCCCTATTCCCCATCCTCGATCCTTCTAACGACCCCCACATCCCCTCCTCCCTCGCAAGGACATCTTCATCTCGTTGTTGTCCTGTGGGCGTCATGGTGATTGAAAACTCGACCGCATTGCGGTCTTGTCATCAGTTTAAATGAATGTGCTGCGGTTTCCGGAGCTCCGATAAGATGGAGCCCTGAGCCTAATCCCTTTCAGTTATTGTTTCTGCACAATTGTGGACGCCGAAGATGTGGGCGGGGCAAGAAGCCGAGTGTCCTTCATCTTCATCTTTTGTGTGTGTTTGCCTTTCGAGTCAAGACGAGTTGAATTGAGTCGAGTCGAGTTCCGCGATTGCCATCATTTATTTTAATTACTTTTCTGTTGTCGGTCTCTTCGTTTTTTTGGTCCTGCCTTTTGGTCCTTCGTCCTGGCTACAGTTATAAGTAATTGGAGAGCTCCACAAATTGCGCATGAAATGTTGGTGGAATACTTTATGGCGCTGCTCGTGATCATGGGATTAACCGCACCAGTCGACAAGCAGAGCCGGCGCAGCAGCCAATACTTCGGTGAGTACGGATTTAAATCTAATCAGACAGTACTCAAAGGGTTAAGCCAGCCAGGGGACTGGGCAATCGTATCAGAAATGGCATTATAAATGAGAATCGCAAAAGCGGATGGTATTGGACATCGGAACTGGGGGGCATAGCAAAAGTAATTTCAATTAGATTGAGGGATATGGCGGGGATTACACTGATCTCGAATTAGAAGCAAAGGAAAGTCATTTTTAAGCTCCCTGTGAAAAGCGGGGATAAAAGCATTATAGACAGCTTTCTGTCTTAGGTTTCAGAACCAAATAAATCATTTTTTCATATTTTAACTCAAATTATTTTCATAATTGAGAGAGTAAATTCTTTACTTATAATTTTTAAACATTAAATTATCTTATACAAGGCCCTTTATTTAGTTCTTATAAAAATGAGAAGGAAAAATGCAATATGAAAGCATAAACAGAACTTTCCTAAATCCGAATTCCCAAAATAATTCATTCATAAACAATCTTCAAAAGCAGACTAAGCCAAAATGTATTCGTGTTATTTTATTTGGGTTATGCAAACATCTTTTTGACTATTAAATTACGCTTATAAAAAGTTACTTTTCCAGTTTGTTATTTTTTCACACAGATGTTTCTATTAAAAAGTTGGATACATAGTTTATTCAATTAAACACGGCAAACTTTTAATGTTGTTTATAGAAAAAGTTAATTTCAAATTTGCTTCGTCACTTGGAAAAATTGAACTGAGAGCATTGGGGTCCCTAATGGATAAGTGATCTCTAAAAGGGATCTGAATTTGGTAATATCCGTTCCCAACTGTCCGGAATTGTTTATGATGCCATCTATTTCGCATCTCTCAACTGCGAGTGTGAGTTTGAAACACGGAACAGCAGCAGCTGCAATTGCTCATTTGTAATTTATGGCACCTGAACTCAGTTTAGGGCTCGCTTGGGGTACTGCAGCTCGGGAGGAGTATGAGTTTGGGTTGCGGGATGTGGGATGTGGGGATCCAAAGGAGGCGTTAGCCATGGCCACTGAAGCTGCGGTTGCGGTTCGACCCGGCAATTTTCCAACTTACCACCCCGCACTTTGTATGTAAATACGCAACTTTTATTAAAAAATTTTTATGTTGTTACATATTCCCTGCCGGTGTGAGGGCAGAATGTGTGTATGTTTGAGGGTTTTTTTTTTGTTATTTTGAGGGCAGCATAAAAAGCAATTTCAGTTGAAGTGTTTGGCCCGGCCAAAAGCAAAGCAAAAGCATCGAAAGCATAAACATAACCAGCGGCTGTGGAGCAACAGTTTCAATTAAGTGTTTAACGTCATTTTATTGCTTGATATTTGATAGCTAAATTTGCCCAACCACACACGAACACAGGCACACAATATGGATCCTGGCCTATAAATCAATATGTGTTTATCCACTCCATATCCATATATCCACAACCAAATCGCAGTACCAGTCCCAGTCCCAGTCCCAGTCCCAAAGCTCTCTCCACACTAGCACCACAGCTGTATTTGTGTTTGTATTTGTTTAGGCACTCATGGATTATTAGCGCATTAGTTGGCTAATACATCGGCATTGGGGCGATGAAGCAACATCATGAGCACCGAAAGCACCGCCAGCACCACCCACATAAATCACTTGTTCGCCCAGCAATGGATCATAAACGTGGGAATGGCTCCTCCATTGGGGCTAGTGCATGCTTAAGCTCGGGCATAAATTAAGCACAAATACTCGTTAATCAAATGAATGCTGATTCCCTCCGTCAGCTGGGGCATCTCCGCCAGCGGATTGAGCCACCCAATCGGCTATCCATCTGTCTGCATATCTATCTATCTGGCTGTCGGACTGTCTATCCATTCGACGCTTCCTGTGTCCATCTATCTGTCTGGCCCCACGGCTCGTGCCCTGGAATGCACTTGAATACGTTTAGATTGACGTCCAGATACAGCTGTTGGAATGAACTACCCAATGGGGATGTTTAATGGGGGCAGGTCGGATTTCTAGACTCGTGTAAATGGGAAGCCATTAAATACAAAGGAGATATCTGAATAAATTCCGAAGGGTTTTTGGGGTTATTGTAACTATTTTGAAGACTGTTTGGTCTTTGTGGAAGTTAAATTAAATTTGGATTTCTTAATTTAAAACATAAGCTAGTGAAAACATTCTGAACACATTTAAATTAAAATATTTATTTATTTTCAACTAACCTTTAGGTCACCTGGCCGCCGCTGAGGAATTATCCAACCTAATACCAGATAATTACGATGCCCTCGATCCAGTTTTCGACAACTCCACGGATAGGGAGATTATCGCTGCTCTGGGCAACACAGCCCGACTCCACTGCCGCGTTCGTCACCTGGGCGATCGAGCTGTGTCTTGGATCCGACAAAGAGATCTTCACATCCTAACCATAGGAATCATGACCTACACAAATGATCAGCGTTTCCTGGCGCGACACATTGACAACTCTGACGAGTGGGTGCTAAAGATCGTTTCGGTCCAGCCAAGGGATGCAGGCATCTACGAGTGTCAAGTGTCCACAGAGCCCAAGATTAGTCAGGCCTATAAGCTGGTTGTTGTGAGTAAGTATCTACCAATGAGGAGGATTACATAGATTTTACGAGGGATGAAGTCGTTAGATGTTAGATGATCTCCAGTCTTAAATTCCCACAGAAATATTCTTGACTCTTACCAAAATAATCATTTAGAAAATGTTGAAGTCCATTAACTACATTTTAAATTGATATTTATAACAAAAATCCAATTAGCAAACCCTTTCATGAGCCACCATAATTATTAATGCCGGTACCATACCAGCACTTTGAATCTCAATCAATTGGCGGTCGTGTAGCTCCATGTAGACGTTGTTTACATCTCCGTTTAGACAGCAGCCGGCGGGTACAAAGAGCTGGGATTACTTTGACAAATTAGTTTATCAAACACCCCAGAACATCACACAAAAGAGTGGGTCTGGGAATGGGACTTGTTGGGCATGTACCCCCATAGGCAACTTGTTGACATACCCATTAATCGAAATTGGTGCCGCTCTTTGACAGCCTCCAAAGGCCCAGATCCTGGCCAACCGCGAGCTGTTCATCCAGAGTGGCAGCGACATCAATCTGACGTGCATCGCCCCCCAGGCTCCAGGGCCCTATACGCACATGGTGTGGCACAAGGATACGGAGCTGGTGAGCGACTCCTCTCGAGGCGGCATACGCGTAGTGTCCGAGCAGCAGATGAAGACCAGCAACCTGGTAATATCGCGTGTCCTGCACACGGACTCCGGCAATTACACCTGCTCAGCGGAGAATTCAAGTTAGTAACTGCTTATAACTTTTTAGACTAAGCATATATACAGACATAGTATGTGTTTATAGTTAAATGCAATTTAAAATCCAATTAACCGTAGACGAAACTGTCAGTTTTACAGGACAAATTTAATTTCATTAAATACTTAATTACATTTTAAACATGCCACTAACTGACTCTTATTAAATATTTATGCATGCTCTTGACTAACGAAAAGTAGTTGCATATATAAACAACATGAATTAACTATCAGATATTGAAAATTAAAATAATTCAATTGTTTGGTATTTATATATTTCTTTTATGCAAGGAAAGGATGTAAAATGTTTAAATCAACTTAAGTTAAAGTAACTTTTAGAACAGACCTGTACAGATTTATTAATAATGTTTTTTATTTAACTGAATATTCCTTTTAATATATCAACTGTACTTAATCAGTTATCAGGATTTTTTAACTACGTTACCTTAGTCTAACATTAAAACAACAATGTTACCAACAAAATTGCATTTATTTAATTTAGTAATTCTACTAAACATTTTTGTAACAAGTTCTTGTGCAGAATAAGCTATCTTAGCTATTTAAGATCCTGCTTTTAAGAACTAATGATTTTATAATATTTTTTTACGATGTCCTTAACCCCCCGGCTCAACTATCTTCTCCCAACAGATTCTGACAGCGTCTTTGTGCATATCATTAAGAGTGAGCAGCACGCGGCCATGCAGCACGAACTGGGGTCGAGGCTGGAACTACCCCCGCTGCCTCTGCTGCTCCTGGCGGTCCTACTGGTTGTCCTGTTGGCCCCCGCACCTCTTCAACCCCGTGCACCCATCCACTAAACCGAGCCAAAGTCGAGCGGCAACTTATGTTCGATGTCTGGAGCCCGGCAGCCGGGTAAGTCGGTGATTTTTAATGCCACCATCAGCTCACAGGAGTCAGGAGTCATCATCTCGTTACAGACCACGCCCCCCGTTACAACAACTACCGCCCATGCTAACGCCCCTTCTTTGGAGATATTCTGGTGGATGGAGGAGGTTAACGACGTCGATGTCGCGTTGTCTTGTAAATATGTAAATCGAGTTTTTGTTTATGTTTGTGTTTTTGTGGCTCAGTCTCTAAGTATTTTTATACGTAATTAAGTAAATAGGTCGAGAGTGCATATGTGCCGCCATATAGCCATATAGCCATCTAGCATATAGCGAATATGACAGATACATTATGTGCACACGATCGCATACCTAGAGATACCAAAAAAAAAAGCGAGCAATCGAATCAGAATCGAATCGAACCCGTAACGAATGTAAATAAATGTTTAATCTTAATAATAGATAGGCGAGATCTAGATTAATTATGATGAAGCGGGTGCAATTTAATTTGCAAGCCCAATGATTGATGGTGATATGAATGTGTGTGGCCATCACCATTCTCCGGTGTAGTAAATGCGATACTTTGACATCCCGGCACCCGGATTATGGCGCTTAATTGCCGGGGCGGGGCCAGGGTTCGAGCGGTAATTGAAAAACGATAAGGTCAGGTCGGGTCATCAGTACATGGCACTCTTGTCCCCCGAGGCACAAGGGAACGAACATCAAAGGCGGCGAGGACGGAACACTTTCGATTTTATGGGGCAAAGAGAGAAGGTGCGACGACAGGTGTGCCTGGAGCAGGGTAATTGAAATATTTGAAGCGTGCATAATTCACACTCCTCGACGGCAATTACAGACGAAGTTCTCGGACAAAGTTTGGGCCACAATGGGATAACTCTGGGATAAGTACCTGAATGCAGGAATGACTCAGTGACAATTCCGGTATCTTCAAAGGCGCCGCAAAGCACGCAAACACAATGAGTAATGGCTGCTGGGTAAGGAGAAATAAGGACTCTTTCTCTTTCTGGAAAGGAAGGAACAAGCCGCATAACGCATCTCCTTATTGCCAAGTGTTCGCTGAATTTTGCATAAGGTGGTGGTAATTGAAATAAAAGACGTTCCCAGCCGCTAATGGGTCTGCACGCAAGAACTGCTCGTCCCTTTTCCCATCTCCGCAGACCGCAGAGTCCCCTTGAGTCACCCCCACCTCCAGTAAGGAAAAGGCACCAAAGCAGGCGAACATCCATCACAACCCGGCGAAAGGAGCGGGTTTAAAAGTGGCGAAAAGGAGCAAGGTGGAGGAGAAGGAGCTGATGTACATGGGCGTAAGCATGTCGTGGCGCCCACTTCTTTTCCTCCGACATTTCGCAAGTCTTTGGGGAATCTTACGCATCTGAAACACGCGCTGGCTGACAGTCACAGTCCCAGTCCCAGTCGTAGTCCCTAACCCATTCTTGCCCTCCCGTTCGGATTTCGGAACATAACCCCTTGAAAGGACGCTTCTCGGGTTCGGCTCAATGAATTGCAAGACCATAGTGCTGAGGGTCCGGCTGGGTGATGGGATCCTTGGACCGGTTGTGGTGTTGTTGCCGCTTCACCTTCACTCATAAATTGTCCAACGAGAAATAAATCAAACCCAGCCTCGACTCTTTGGCCATGCTACTGCTGCTGCTGCCTGAGACGCTGTCAGTAACAAATCATGCTCAGGGCTACAGCCCAGTAGGAGCCACAGCCACTGCCAGACCCGTAGTCGTATTCGTAGTCATATTCGAAGCCGTATCCGTACCCTTTGGCGCTTGCCTTAACCGGAGCCATTGCTTGTAGACTTGTTTACGGGCTTAATACGTTGTGCCGGGCAAGAACAACGAAGCCTCGAGAAACGCCACAGGCTGGTATTGCGACTAGTGGATACCCCTTCAGGGTTCTCACAGTTTACCTCCCATAACTCAGCTTCTAATTCTACTAACCAGACAATGTGCTACAGAATTAAGTTAGTGTTATTTTCAAAATAGAAATGATTGCAATAATATTAAAAATAAAAATCAATAAAAACACTTAAGAAATCTCAAAAACTTATTAGAAACGTAAACATATTAGCAAAAAAAACAAGGCCTGTATTTCATACCAAAACCTCACAATATTGATCATAACTTGATAAATAATAATCGGAATTTGGAATGGCATACATCGTTAAACTCGTAATTGTTCCTATTTAATTCTCGGAAAAAACTGCACTTCAAAGAGAAAAAAATATTTTTTTCGATTTTTTCAAAAAATGTGATGGTACCCCTTACAAAAAAGTGAAATTTTCGAAAAAAAATTTTTTTTCAAAATCAACCAAAAAGTCAAATAAATTAAATCTTTAGGTTTTCGGCTACGCAAAACTGTATCATTTTTTGTTGTATGTCTATTTTTGGCTGAGATATAGCACGAGACATGCAGTTTTTCTACGAAAATTTCGGTTTTTTATATTCCCCTTATTGGATGCAATATTTTTACAAAATTAGCACCATAAATCTAATGTTTTATCTTGTCGGACTCTGTTTAAACTTTGGCATTTAAGTTCACCCATTGTTGCTTAAAGAAAACACTGTCTCAACCTCTTTAGCACCAAATCAATCACTCCTAGAGCCGGGGTCCTTTGTCAAGAGATTCATCCCAGTTAAGACCTACATACATGGTTCTTACGCGAAAACAGCTTTCCATTCATTTCCGCTATTCAGGGCACGAAATCCCCTTCCATATCCATATTCAATTAAGCTAAATGTTTGTTTTAAGTTTTCCCAAGAAGCTGCCTGAAGGAAATTCCTTTATAATTCGAATGAAATAAAGTACCTCAGGCGATCATAGCATGCATCTGCATAATTAAACCAACCAGGATCTAATTTGGGTAAAAGTATTTTTAGAACTTGTCTTGTCATAAAGAAAATCAATTGATCAATTATGATTAATTGAAGTTTTTTGGGTGGTAAATAAGTTATTTGGCGGCGTAAGAGAAAAACAACACGCCGTCTTAAGTTGCGAAGTAGCAGGTAGAAAGAGTGCGTATACGTCCTGTTGGCTCCTTGTCTGTCCTGGCGATAGTGTCTGTGTGTGCATGTGTGTCTGTTTTTATGTGTGCGTCATCAGCACCAGAGACAGTAAAGGGCGGCGGGCAAATGGGCATGGAGGAGGAGCCTAGAATCAACAGCAGGCGCAGATTCGGAACCAGAATCAACGGCGGGCGGAAGTGCGGAAGTGCTGGCTGTGCGAACACGACGACTACAACGACAACAGGGACAGGCTTATGGGGCAAAAGGAGGGAGCGGGACCATTGCTGGAGCGACAAGGATAGAGTGTTGAGAAACTACGGGGCGTAGACGCGCCGGAAAACATTTAATTACTAATGAGTTTTTCATGCTGCACCTCGTAGGAAGAAAACGCTTTAAAAAATGTGGCAAAAAAAAAGTGGCGCGTAACTAGGGATTTTTAATTTGCTAATTAGCTAAATAACAGCAGAGACCCTAAATTTGATTGATTGGTTGGCAGAGAAAACAGCAATCAATTATTTAGCTAGCATTTAGCAATTGATTATCAGGTATTAGGTCTTGACAAGTCAAGGAATGGGCCCCTAATGTCTACTATCCATGAGCTCTTCATCCTACTAAATGATGCATAACTTATGACCAAGACAAAAGTAGGATGAAACACACGCAAGGAAGTTTGTCCAAAACAATGACATCTTTCGACAGCATTTAAAAGGCCTTAGTCATCGTTAGCCCGGACTTGGTATCCTCCCGGAATAAGCATGGGGAAAAAAGTTTATCTTCGATATTATTATTGGGGCATAACTCTGTCGGTCGTAAATCAAATTAGAAGCCCGTTGACACTTGGAAACACATAAGAAATGCAAAAGATTCTATTAAATATACAACCGATGGATAGAGCTAAAGAATCTAGCAACCGAGAAACTAGAGCAAATGGCAAAGTAATTGAATTATCAAATACCCAGCAGTTTGCATAGAGGCCAACCGACAAACCAATCGATATACCCCATTCTCAATCGAGAAGAGGGTATGGCACAGGGCCTAAGAAAACATTTATCATGCGATTTAAGTTGGCCACGACTTTTGCACAAGAGAGATTTAAGTGATTTGCTGACTGGCTTTAAAATCAAAGTGCGGATAATGAATGGCCCGGTTGGGGCTTTTCGGTACTCGGTCTAGTGGCCACGGCACTATTTGATTTTGCCTCAGCCAGTATGTTTGTTTTCGGCTCAATTTAAGTTCTGTGGCAGTGCACAAAAGTGCAAAGTGCAAAGTGCCAGGCATTTTGCAGCAATTGCCAGAGAATGGCATCGAAATCACATGGCCCGGGGCTGTCATTCCTCGCATGCGACACGCGATTGTTCCCTGTTAACTGCCTTTCTTAGTTCTGGGTTCTGGGTTATATTGGAAGGGAACTGGTGTCGGACCATGTAGCTTAATCTGCAAACAAAATCGTTTGATCCATATCATCAAAGCGGTTGCAGGGGTCAGATGAGGTGGAAACGGCGTGTAACTGACAAAGCGGGGCCAAAAAGCAACTGCACGGAGCGAGTGCTGGCTCCGTACGATTTGGCCCCCCCGGCAAGAGGTTAATTTCCCCCAGGAAGCGCCCCAGCTCAATGGCCTTAAAGCAGGAATAGCGCCGGCTAAGTAAACTCTCGCATTAACACAAAGCCAATCCCGAACCCGAACCAAAAAACCAGTTAGGTCGTCGTCGTCGTCTATGCGCTGCCATTCTAACAGACCATCCCGATACCCGGTACTCAAACGGTGTTAAGTGTTTCCATTTCCGCGTTTTTTCGGTTACGGGTTAATTAAAAATCAGGTGGATGAACCAAAAGCCTTTTGGAGTAGCTAAAAAAAATAGCTAAGAAGGCGTATATTGAGATCAAAATATTGTGAGTTGGCTAAGAAAAAAGGTAAAAGGAAAACTCTCTAGATATTAAAATAATAATTTTTTAAGAAAGCTTTCTCTTTATTTCCGATATTATTGTCCTTCTTTTCAATATTCTAACACTATGAAGATCACTAGATATTAAAATATTCAAACATTTTCAATGCTTGTCCACAGGCCTGTTAACAGACCGTAAACTCTCAACTTGAAAGGCCTTTCAGCCCCAACATTAGTAATCTTATTTACGATAGCGAGTCTACCCTTAAGATTTACGCATACTGGGTACGGAAAAAGGCGAATTTTGAACGGGCCCACCTGCTTGGCAGGCCTCCAGTTGCAGCCTCTGCTCCCGGCTCCTAGCGGCTGGCAAAACCGAACAATGTGAAATTACCGCCCTGAAATATGGACACCCGCTGAGATTTTATAGCAGTCAACTTTGAATTATTAAATATGTATTTCCAGCCACGCCAAAACCAGAGACTCAATCTCCACCACCAGCGGAAGTGGAAGAACGAGCCAAAGGAGCAGTAAAGGGAGCAACGAAGAAAAATTGGAGAAGTGCGTTAAGTTCAAGTTTAAAGGGATTTTCAAGGATATTTCTTAGGATATTTTTAGGTAGGGATATTTTAGCTAGGGGGAATAGATAAAGGTCCTTTGAAGCT